ATTTCTTCCACCTTCCATTATGTTTCTTTGATTTTTTTGAGTTAGCAGACTTGTAGGCACGTGCAGTACTTGACCTCCTTGATGAAGAATCTGCTGAGTAGTACGAGAGTTCTTCAAGATGGTCAGACCCTGAAGGATCAAGTGATGAGGATTTCTCCCCCTTCCTTTCATGAGCCCTTTCACTACCAATTGGGGATGAGTAACCCTCATGGTCACTGCAGCTTGAGCTGTCCGTATAATCTGTTTGACTACTATCTCTTTGAGGATATGATTCATCTTCTCCATAGCTGCTTGTTTCATCTGAATACCGCATCTTGGTTCGAGCCTGCCTTGGCAATGAATCATCTTTGTCACTACTGTAAGTGCTTGTCTGCTGCAAATCTGTCGAGCTGGAAGAGTAGGATGAGCTTGAATGTGAAACCTCTGATTCCTGTTCATGCAAATGCCTTCTTCTCAGTTGTTTTATGTGATTCCTATTCCTCGGATATTTACTAGAATTCTGGTCCGAGTTTGCATAAGAGCTCCTGGATGGTTTTAATTGACCCAACTTGTGATTCAATGCTGATCGCCTCATTATTGAATGCTCTGAATAAGGTGAATCCATTCTGCTCTCATTAGTACCGGACCAAGCTAGCTTGCTCCCGTGATCAATCAATCCTGGAGTGCCTATGTTGTTTCTCGAAATATCTGCTGCAGGCAACCTGGCATTCAATTTTCCTAGCTGCCCGCTTTTCTCGTTTGAAGGCATTTGGTTTTGGTTTTGGTTCAGGTTCTCGTTGATCAACATTGCAGGCAAAGCAGCATAACGACTCTGTCGTGAAGTACTATTATTTTGATTCTCTGATTGGCCCAACGGCTCAAATTGGTCAACAACAGACTGGATGCTCTGATGATTAATTATGTTTCCTCTCTGTATCTGCCACGGATGCTCTTCAACTAAGTCTAGCTCTGTAGACGTATCACGATGCTCAGCAGGGACGATGTTTGCTACAATCTGTTGTTGTCTCAACTGATTTGACTGGCAACTACTTGACTCAGGAGGCGGTGACTGATCTGCTGAAATATTTGATATTCTGATAGATGGAATAGTATATCCCGGATACAGTGAACTTGATGTGCCTTTAGGTTCTTGACTGTATTGAGTAATCACTAGCTGTAGTGAGTCAAGTTTATCATTCACGACAGCTCCCTCTATCTTGTTGATGGGACTAGCTAACTCTACTTGTGGCACAAAGTTAGTTATCGGTTTGAAGTTATGGTCAGCTGCATGTCTATCAGCAAGAACAAGGTCCTCAGCATCCATCTGCATAGCTGAAATGTGCAATTCGAGTTGTTTAATGACATCATCGGTTGATAGATGATCATGGTTCTGATCAGTTACCGATCTTATCAAACCAGAAAAGTTATATGCGGCTTGTGTAAGATCATTAGCTGGTCTGTCTGATATGGAAGCCACAGTTTCTGCACCACTTGATATGCGATGGAGATCGAGCACTTCTTTCGGCTTTCTACTTTCAGTGCTTAATGATTGCAATGCTTCTTGTTGAATATCCCGAGAAAAACTGCCGAATAGACTATTCTGCTGTTCTTGCAACGCCACGACCTTTGTAGAATGTGAAGCTTCTATTTCAGAAGATTTAGTGTTTATACAAGGAACAAACGCCTTTTCAAATTTTGGGCGCTGACAGATTCTGCAAAACTTTCTTTTATTTCCAGTTTCACTTGCACTAAAGCTAAATTTTGGACGCTGCACGCTAGCCGTCTGAGTAACTGGAACGATAGATTCCTGCTTCTCTTTCGATAAGGTGGATTCCTCCACGACAACTGGCTCATTTCCACAACTTTGAATAACAGCTGAAGATTTTGGCATGTCTAATAAAGCAAGAGGACGTTGCTTCACCATGTCAACCAGATGCTGAGGCTGAGGTAAGTTGTGCACGTGCGCCTGATGTGCTATGATCTGTGGGAAATAGGAATGACACGATAAGTCTGAATAACGAAGATCTAACAATAAAGGTTCCCCTCAGTAAGCAGAGAACCAGACAGGTACCTCAGAATGAGCCTTAAGTAGATCATTCGTTGTTGTATCGAGTAGATTCTTTAACATGACTCGCGCTTCATGGTCCAACTGTTTGAAGAAAAAAAACAAATACTGTCGGAAATAGGCGTTTAGAGTCTAGACAGGCGTATATAAGATGAAATAAAGGAGATATATTACTCCAAGATTGCTATCCCGACCATCAAACAGGCCAGATACCAGACATAGAACACAACACCACCTAAATTTATAAACGAAAATTTGGCCAGTCTACCAATTAAATATAATCCCAACCACCCTGTTAAGCTTCTTCTAAAAAAGAACAGCCCGGTGCACAAAACAGCCTGCGTTCATGCAGGCTACGGGGAAAGGCCGCAACTCAAGAGTATGATGTACGCAACCAAACCCTAACACAAGCATCAATAACTGATTCCAGTGCTCGAACATATGATATTTAGGTCACACAGAGACAATTTTACTTTTACTGTTGCTCCACGACATTAGTGAAGCCAAAGACGAGGTAAAAGTACTTACTTTTTAACAGCAATAAAAGCTTAAGGCCACACGAAGTTCATAACATCAAACTTTTTTCATCTCAACCCCTTCTCCCCCCAAACCAAGAAATTGAAATCCACAAAGCAAACAAAAAAACAAAGCTATGGTTGGAATTTAAATTATTGAACGTCCATTTGACTCGTAACTTCCACCATTACCCCTCACACAAACTAAAGCCTATCACGAGTACAACAATAACATAGTCAGTATAGTCCCTCAAAGTGCGTCTAGAGAATGTATGCAGACTTTACCTCTACCTCATAGGTCCAGTAGACCCTTGTCGACTTAAGCCTATTACGAGTATGATCATACAAATAAGCACAAAAAAGAAACTTACACCATCAGAGTTCAAGTTCGAAACACCATCTCTGTCATTTCGCAATAGACCATACAATTGCCTTAAAGCAAGAAGGTTTGATTTTATGTTCTCAAGGTCCATATCCTGGTTAACAAACAAGAAAAGTGAGTAAAATCAGTGTGAAATTATACAACTACACTGCTACAACTACCTAAAAAGATTGAAAATAACTTCACGAGACATTTTTCTGCACAATACATTGAGTTATTCACCAACTTCAAGCTAGCGTTTGATTATAGATTTTGAAAATTTATCTTTAAATATCTGTGTAACCATGAAATTTGATCTTCAAATTCCCCAAAACAAACTCAAACAAACTTTTAGATTTTCTCGACTTTCCCTCACAAAACATCAAATCGTTTTCTCAAAATAACTTCAAATTCAAAAAATCACAAACTTTGCCAAATATTTTTGGACTTCAACCCACAAAACTTCAATATTTCCCCCCAAAAATCACAACTTTTGTGAGTTTTGATACTTCCACTTACAAAACTTCAATAAAAAATTCCCAAAACAACTTCAAAATTACAAAATTGCAACTTTAAAAACTCAGGTTCAAGTTTCAACTTCAAAATCTACGACCACACAAATAGCCAAATGTTGAGACTATCAAGTGATAACATAACTTTGTGATACTCAATGACTGAAAAAATCATATTACAAACTCAAAAATCCCTAAAATTTCATGATTTTAAATCACCCAAAACACACAATTTAGGCAAATTAATTTTTCAAATACATACATTTGAACAAATTCCAATTTGTTTTCTGTTCAAATTGTTGACAAAAAAATGGAACAATAAATAAATAAATACCTTATTCTCCATGAATTTAAACAGATCATACCAAAAAAAAAAAATCTGTAAAATTTTGGTGTTCGCGCCTACTCCTAAATATAATTGACAAAGCGGTTTGTTTGCTGGCTATTTATAACCGCTTCAACTTTATGTTATTTAAAAAAAATATATTAATTTTTTTTTGAATAAAAAAATATGTGCAATGATATTTACTAATATTAAAATAACAAATAATTTTTATTTCATACGTATTTATATTTTTGTATCATAATATATCATAAAATATGTTTTATAATTCCAATAAAAAATATATCATAAAATCATTAAAAGAAAAAAAACTTAACTTAGTTCATGTAAGTATTGTATTGAATGAGACAAAAATTCAATTTCAGAACTCATAAATATAATTTTAAAAAGAGGCATAAATTATTCCTAAAGAACTTAGGTCCAATGGGGCATAATTTAATTACACTCTTTGTATGATCATTTTAAGAGTGTGTCTTAAATATTCTAAGACTTGAATTTGAATTTTTAATTAGAATAAAGATCCTAATTATATGCTACAATTCAAAATGATATTTAAATTATTATAAATACGATAGTGAAGAAAAATTAGTATGGTATTATATGAGCCTAATATAAGTTATTTTAATTGTTCTAATTTAGTTTATATAAATAAAATTTGAAAAGTCGATTAATTTTATTTTTTTTTTGAAATATTTGAAGTACTAAATTGTTGTAAGCTATAGTAATTATACTTTATGCTATTTCAACTAATATGTGTTCCTATGTGGCACAAATGTATTCGAAGAGCCAATCAAACATTTTGTATGATTTTTAAATATTTTAAAGTGTTAATAATTATGATTTATAGTATTTTTAACGTAGTTTTAAAAAAAAAACATATATATATATATATATATATACACACACACACACCCTAATGAAATAGGGATAACTTGATAATGTAAAGTTAGTTAAGGGTAGTTAAGGAATTTTAGGCAAAGTAGTTAAGTTGGTTAGAGATGAACAGTGCATATATATCACTGTTCCATTGTATTCTGTTGAGAAGCATTTTTCTCATTGTATTGAAAACAGATTCTTCTTCCTCTTCTTCTTCTCTAGGTGCTCATTAATGGAGTTTTAGATTGAGCAATTATTCTGAATTAACATGGTATCAGAGCCTTACACCTACGATTGTGAGGTTTATTGAAGTTGATTGTGTGAACTCAAGCTTCGTCTAGCTTCATCAATGGCGACGACTAAGTTTGTTCATAATCACGCACTGTTTTTGCACCCTTCCGACACCACTGGTGTTTCTATCATTCCAATGCAGCTAACAGGATCCGATAACTACTCTGTATGGAGCAGGGCTATGAGAATTCAATTGCTTGGGAAAAACAAGCTAGGAATTGTTGATGGCAGCTGAAAAAAGAGAATTTCGGGGCTGAGTTAGGGCATCAATGGGATCGATGTAATGCAGTTGTTCAAGGATGGATTATGAGTTCTGTAACTCAGGAATTACACACAGGAATAGTCTATGCAACTAGTGCAAGAGCAGTCTGGGAGGATCTCAGGGATCGTTTTGACAAGGTAAATGCATCTCGAATTTATCAATTGCATAAAGCTATAACTATGACTATACAAGGTAATGATTCTATTCCTACATACTTTTCTAAGCTAAGGAATTTATGGGATGAGTTTGCAAGCATTATACCACCTTCTTGTCAATGCTCTAATTCAAAGGAATTTTATATGCATTTGGAAAGACAAAAGCTAATGCAGTTCTTAATGGGTTTAAATGAGAACTATGATCAATCGCGCAGTCAGATCTTAATGATTGAACCCACTCCTAACATAAACAAGGCATATGCCATGCTTGTTGAACGAGAGAGTCAGAGATTTATGGCATCTTCATCTTTAAATGGTGAAGGAACAGATCTGGCAGCTCTCATGGCAGGGAAAGGGTCATTTCATAAATACAATAGGGGAACAGTTCCACAAAATTACAACAAGGATTCTGCATCACAACCTACATACTATAATAAGGGGAAGAAAAATTGAGATCTGAAGTGTGATTACTGCAATATGCAAGGTCATGTGGAGAGTAATTGTTTCAGACTTCATGGATATCCACCTGATTGGAAATTCAAAAAGAAGGGAACTGGAAATATTATTAATGCCTACAATGTTCAAATTGACGGTGCTAGTACTAAAGGTAAAAGCATGGATTCTTCAGTTAATGAAAATCTGCAAAGAGCACCTCAAATGACTGCAGATCAGCATGGACATATCATGAAGATGCTGGATGGGAATGTTTCTACTGCTAATGCAATAGCTAACATGGCAGGTATGGTCCAAAATCTTATGTCTACAACTACAGGTTTGAAATGGATCATAGATAGCGGAGCAACAAATCACATGATCTCTAATCTGGATTTATTACATAATGTGCATACTGTTAAGACAAATCAGAATAGCAAAGTACATTTACCAAATGGAGGTGTGACTTTGGTAACTCATACTGGTGCTTGCAAAATCACAGAAACAGAAGAGTTACATGATGTTTTGTTTGTGCCAGAGTTTCATTATAATCTTATGTCTATATCAAAGGTTACAAAAGAACTCAACTGTTTTGTGTCATTCTATCCTGGATTCTGTTTATTCCAGGATCTTACAACTGGGAAACTGAAGGGGATTGGTAAAGAGAAGGATGGCCTTTATTTTCTGGTTCAACAACAAAGTTTTTCTAAATCTGGAGTTCATGACACTATTAAAAGCTTTGCTGCGCATGATGACAAGGAAAACATAATGTTGTGGCATAAAAGACTTGCACATGCTTCTATAGGATCTATAAAGAATTTGCTAGGATATACATTTGATGATTGTAAAACAGTTCTGAGTCATTGTGAAATATGTCATCTTGCAAAACATACTAGACTTCTTTTTAATAATAGTAGTAACAGATCTACTGAGAGGTTTACTTTGTTACATTTGGATGTATGGGGTCCCTATAACACTCCAACCTTTGATGGAAATAAGTTTTTCCTTACTATTGTTGATGATTTCTCCAGAATTGTATGGGTATTTCTATTGAAATTCAAGAGTGATGTATTGCAGACTCTTAGACATTTCTTTAAAATGGTTGATACTCAATTCCATACATCTATTAAAGGTGTGAGGACAAATAATGGAGGGGAGTTTATTAATAATGCTCTGCACGATCTGTTTAAAGAGTTGGGGATTATTCATTACAAGACATGTGCTCACACACCTCAACAAAATGGGGTTGCTGAGAGGAAGCATAGGCACCTTCTTGAGGTTGCTCGAGCATTAAGATTCCAAGGACATATTCCTATTAAATTTTGGGGTCATTGTATCCTCACTGCAGCTTATATAATCAACAGATTGCCTTCAACTAATCTGGAAGGAAAGTCACCTTATGAATTGTTTTTTGGGAAACAGCCTTGCATTACTCATTTACGAGCCTTTGGTTATCTTTGTTTTGCTAGTGTACTACCTCGAGCTGATAAATTTGCCCCAAGAGCAATCAAGGCAGTGTTTATGGGTTATTCCAATGTTACCAAGGGTTATATTTGTTATGATATGCAACGACACAGGTTTTTCATTAATAGAGATGTGGTGTTTCATGAGGACCGATTCCCATTCCAACAATTTCCACAAGTATCTGATCCTTCTTCTCATATATTTTCTCCTTCAACATCTTTACATAATGAATACTTTAATGATGTTTCAATCCAATCTCCTGATTTACCTCCTACTTCTTCTCCAAGTTTACTTCATATTACTCCTGCTCCATCTCATATAGATACTAATGCTCCAGTTTCAGTTCCTTCTGTTTCTCAACCTCTCAGAAGGTCTTCTAGACTCTCCAAACAACCACTTTGGCTGACAGACTATGTCTCCAATCATTCTGTTGGAAATGCTTTGTATCCTCTTGCTGCATCTATTTCCTATGATCATCTATCTCCTACTTATCAAACATATTTGCAGGCTTTTTCTGCAGTTGTTGAGCCAACCTCTTACAATGAGGCTATTCTTGATAATAGATGGTTGGAAGCCATGCAAGCTGAACTGCAGGCTCTCCATGATAATCACACTTGGGATTTGGTACCTCTTCCCAAGGGTAAAATTCCTATTGGGTGTAAGTGGATATATAAAGTCAAGCTAAAAGCTAATGGTGATGTTGAAAGGTTTAAAGCTAGACTGGTTGCAAAAGAATATACTCAAAAGGAGGGGCTTGATTTTCATGAAACCTTTTCTCCAGTGGTTAAAATAGCTACTGTTCGAACTGTTCTTTCTTTAGCTGCACAATGCAATTGGTCTGTCCATCACTTGGATGTTTATAATGCCTTCTTGCAAGGTGATCTTCATGATGAAGTATACATGCAACTACCAGAGGGTTTCGACAGTCAGGGGGAGTCTGGACTTGTATGCAGACTTGTCAAATCCCTCTATGGACTTAAACAAGCAAGCAGACAGTGGAACTTGAATCTAAGTGAAGCACTGTTAGAATCTGGTTTTATTCAAAGCAGTTTAGACCATTCATTATTCATTAAAAGGATAGGTTCAGACATAGTGGTGATCCTAGTGTATGTTGATGATATGTTAGTAACAGCAAGCAGTCTGAGTCTTATAGAACATACAAAAGCTGTTTTGCATAAGGCATTCAAGATCAAGGATCTTGGTGAATTAAAATTTTTCCTTGGAATGGAATTCAGCAGATCAGCAAAAGGTATATTGATGAATCAGAGAAAGTATGCTTTGGAGATCATTTCAGATTTAGGATTAGGAGGAGCTAAACCAGCTTGGACTCCTCTTGAAGCCAATGTGAAACTGACAACTCAAGAATTAGATTGTGTCACAGGAGAGCAGAATGATGAACCTTTTGAAGATAGAGAATTGTATCAAAGGTTGGTGGGAAAGATGTTATATTTGACAATGACAATGCTGGATATTGCTTATTCAGTTCAAACACTCAGCCAATTTTTACAAAATCCAAAGAAGTCACCTTGGGAAGCAGCTTTGAGAGTGATGAGATACATTAAAAGAGAACCAGGACTTGGAATTTTATTGAGCAGCAAAAGCTCAAACAAAATAAGTGTGTATTGTGATGCAGACTGGGCATCATGTCCAAATACAAGAAGATCAGTATCAGGATTCATAATTAAACATGGTGAGACATTGTTATCATGGAAATCAAAGAAGCAAAATGTAGTTTCAAAAGCTCAGCAGAGGCTGAATATAGAATTATGGCAAATGCAGTTTCAGAACTAGTATGGATAATTGCTTTATTAAAGGAACTGGGAAAAGAGATGGAACAACCAGCTATGGTGTATAGTGACAGTAAAGCAGCATTGCAAATAGCAGCCAACCCAGTGTTCCATGAAAGAACAAAGTATATTGAAATCGATTGCCATTTTATAAGACAGAAAATTCAAGAAGGTGTTACGAAGACAGAACATGTGGCTTCTAAGGAACAACTTGCAGATATCCTAACTAAGGGGCTGTCTAGATTACAACATGAATGTTTAGTAAGCAAGCTTGGTGTGCTGAATGTATTTACACCCACCAGCTTGAGGGGGAGTAATGAAATAGGGATTACTTGATAATATAAAGTTAGTAAAGTAGTTAAGGAATTTTAGGCAAAGTAGTTAAGTTGGTTAGAGATGAACAGTGCATATATATCACTGTTCCATTGTATTCTGTTGAGAAGCATTTTTCTCATTGTATTGAAAACAGATTCTTCTTCCTCTTCTTCTTCTCAAGGTGCTCATTAATGGAGTTTTAGATTGAGCAATTATTCTGAATTTAACACACCCATGCCTCAAATTATGCGATACTAATAAAATTTCGAAGGTCAACCAAAATTTCTATATATTTTAAAAATATTTTAAATTATTATACTATAATTTATAGTTTTTTTTTTACCATAGTTTTAAGATATTTAATCAAATATTTCAAGTTGTTAATATTAATTATTATAAATTATAATACTTTTAATATAATTTTTAAATATATAATAAGATTAAAATATAGTAAAACATAAAAAATATTGAAAAAGCCCTAATACAAACACATAACTTAGATAGACAAGTCATCTAAGTTACTAAGGGATATCAATGGTTGCTAGAACGTAAATTTTTTCACAATAACTACTAAACTTTAAATTTATGTCTAGATATGTTAATACATATATATATATATATACTTTTATATATGATATGATATAATTTTTCAACAAAGTGATATTGCTTGACACTCGTTAACCAAAGATGGTCCAGCCTGTTTCTTATAACATAGATAATTGTTTAGAAAATTTACTCAATATCACTATAACAAAAATAATTTTTAGCGGTATTAAATATTGACATTAGTAAAGGGTGTTAGTCTTTACCTATATTAGTTAAATGTCATTAGAATTAATGTCGCTAAAAACTTTAAAAACGTATACAAAGAGTGACAATTACTGCTAAAAATTATATATTTAACAATAATTAAAAATTAAATATCACTAATAATTATTTTTATTATAGTAATAAAGAGGCAGCGATTTTGCTGCTTCACCTATATCATGATTCAAATTTTGGCATATTAGGTGGAAACCTTCTTTGTGTCATGTTTTTGTAATTTCCTCAAATTTAGAAGGTATGCTATAACCTAGGTCCACAATATCAATTAATACTATTTTATTTTATTAATTTATGAAATTATTTTATATTTCAACTTTTTGCTATTTTATTCATGAGTCCAAAATAATGACATAAATTTTTTTTTAAAAAATCATAACTTATATTGTATATATAAAAAATTTGATTAACCTTTAAAACTTATTAGTTTACACAATTAAAAAGTTCTGAAGTAACACATAAAATCACATAGATAACGGCATATATAAAAGATTTAGTTGACTTTTTAGATATAAATTGAAATAAATAAAATAATATATATTTATTACATTTTTTAAAGTTATATAGTTTAAATTTGATTAAAATTTTGCGTATAAAATCTTTAATTTTTTTAAAATAAAATATTTATAAACT